AACCCAAAGGAAAGTACAGAACTGAAGCCAGGTTTCCCACTGAGACATTCTGTGAAAGATGAATTTTAGAATTTTAATACTGTCTGAGAGTAGGGAAGAGGTAACAAAGCCAAATATCTACCTAAGATAGGAAGTTGATAGAACATCATCCCACACACACAACTGGGACCTTGAAAAGTAACATTTTCAATGCTAGTGTGAACTAAAACATAGCTCTGCACCTCAACTTAAGAAAATATGGCTGTCCTAAACAGTGAAATTAGAAATATATTAGAATGATCAGATATAGAAAAAAGACATATATATATACATACTAGAGGCCCGATGCACAAAAATTTGTGCACTCGGGGGCGGGGGGAGGGGGGTCCCCCAGCCCGGCCTGTGCCTTCGGCCTCTATTATATATATAAAATTCCTGAAAAGATAGTGTGCAGCAAAAGCTTTCAGAAGATGTGCAGAAACACAAGAGGCCTATGGAGAACTGTCTCCTAACCAAGTGTAATGAATGGTTCTTGGATAACTTGCTAAGCACACAAAGTTAAATACAACTGGAATTTCAACTCAAAAAATACTAATATAAGTTCTTTAAAAAATTAAATGTGAAGAGTAAAATTTTTAGAGGAAGTAAAATATTATGCACTCAGATGTAAAGGATCTTAAAATGAAAAATAAAAACCTGTGGTTCTTAAAAAATATATAATTTTGTATTTAAGCTAATATAAATAAAAACTGGACTGCAGTAAAATGAATAATTTTTGTTACTCAGTATTTGCCATATGGAGAACACAAGGAAATATTATGAACTTCAATTTCATGCCTCAAAATGGATGAAGTTAAAAATACTAATGTGTCAAAGAAGTATCGGTGGAATAATAAAGTTTGATTCCATTTATATAAAGTTGAAAGCAATTAAAAATAAAAATAAAGTTGAAAAACAATTAAAATAAAACCACATATTTTCTAAGAAAGCATATATCAGTGGTAAAATGATGCATTTTATAAAAAAAAAAGCAAGGGAATGATTAATACTTCTGGAGAGTCATTGGTTGGTGGGGAGAGAGGAAGAGGTATACAATGAAGAAATACCTTCATCGGGCTTCTCAGCTTATAGGAATGTTTTATTTCTTATCTTTCATGGCCCATGGGTGGACATGACAGGATTTAAAGCCATTTAGGCGAAGTTGCCACTGATTGAAACATACTTGAAATCATTCTGATCCAGAAGTCCTCAGGCATCTTGCTTAATATAAAGGGTTAAAGTTATAGCTGTTTAGAGGAAATCTCTTTTTATGAGTTCTATCCCATTTGAAAATTCGAAACCATGTTTCATTATTGCTGTCCCCTTCTGGAAATGGACGGGCCCTGAGAAAGAGTAAGTCCCACTGTTCTACTGCTGGGTGACTAATCCTAACACTATTTGCTGTTTCTGAGTAAGTCCCTTCTCTTCCACATAAGAGTATCCAAAGAAGAACAGTACACATTGTTCATTGTACCGTTCCCGTTTATAATTCATACATGCCCTGAAGGGTGTATTCAGACCCAAAGATTCCATTTACTCCCACTTGGTGAACGACAGCAAGTTCTTTGTGATTTTTATTCTCTTGAGAAAAAGAGGTTTATTGGAACAATATTAAGAGATGGTCATAACAAAAGAGGATTTTTCTTAAAGGTAAACAATAATGCCCCCAAACTGGAATCAATAACTTACTTTAAAATGTAACCAAAATATTTAAGAGATTTGTTCCCAGTTAAGGCCACACTACTGGTCCTGGCCAGGTAGCTCAGTTGGTTAGAGCATCATCCGGATATGCCAAGGTTGTAGGTTCAATCCCCAGTCAGGGCACATACAAGAATTAACCAGTGAATGCATAAGTAAGTGAAACAACAAATTGACATTTCTCTCTCTCTCTCAAATCAATAAATATTTTCTTTAAAACATCATTGAGTCAGGCTTGTCAAATTTCCATCAAGCCATTTTTTTTTGAAAGAGATCCAGAAAAATCAAGGATTGGGAGAAACCAGCTGACAATCATTAACAACAGGCGTGCATTTCTGTAAGCCTCTGCAACCTTAAATTGTGGAACAAGTGGAGGTCATAATATGTGTCAGCACCAATTTCCACTTTATCCCTGACTTGCTTTCCCACAACACAGTTTGGCTTACATAAGCATTCTATGATTTTCATCATACTCATGTAAGCTTGGAAGAAGAGCCAAATCTAATTATCGGGAGTCATACAATAAATAACCTGGTACCCAATTTTCCCTCATGTCATTACAACAAAGGCTACAATTCCTAGCAAGTGAGCAATGAGCTGTACCTCCTGTCACCCTCAGTTAATAATCTCCCAGTTTCCACAATGCAGTAAGGGCCATAGCAATGGCCTTTAAAAATGCTCTGCTACATAACTTTCAAGAAAGAAAAAGACCCACTTCTTCATGCATATTATATGCCATAGAAGTGAAGATATTTCTTGTATAATCAAGTCCGTTAGACTAGGTAGCAGGGCTTAGAGGAAAACTCCAAAGCTAGGATATCTAATAGTGGTGGGATAAGATCTTCAGTTCATACTAGTGGATCTCTTAAAACAATAGAAAGGAAGCCTTCACATTTTTCCTTTTGAGAAAAATTTCGACATAGAATTTTTTTTATGTTAACATGCTTTATTTATTTTAAAGCATGAGAAGTCATATATTGTATCTGCTTTAATATAAAACATGTGTTTTTACAATTTCAAAAATATGCCTCTGGGGAAGAGTTGCCTTTTATCCAAGTCCTTTGGAAGTCTTGCACATTAATGCAATGCCCTCTCACTGAATTTAGTTTGAACAGCCAAGTTCCATTCGGATTCAATGATCATTTGAATCCCGAACCTGATTGAATTCAATGCTAATTCGCTTTGGTCACAGAGTTCACCCAACAAAATCGCTCTTTTTTTTTTTAAATCTTAAAAGAAAAGGTGTGATAAAGGGGATTTTAACAACGATTCCCAAAGGATGACCTCACAATTGCATGTGTTGAATGTCCCTAGAAACTAGCCTTTTAAAGATCATTTTCAAAAGCAATAACATAAATATGGGGGAGTGCTCCTCAGAAAAATGAAGAATGGCATTCTAGGAACAGGAGTAGCGTGTGCAAAGGCGGCATATTCATGATCAGCTGTTCTTCACTGAGACTCTAAGTGTTTCTAGAATACTTGGCAGGAGAGGACTGGGTGAATATGAATTTGAGAAATCGTTGGGGAGACAAAGAACTTTTTTCCTAGATCTCAGATCTTATTCACCTTATAGCTGCAAATCTGTACCCTTACCAATCGCTGTTTTATCTACTCTCCAACCCCCAGCAACTTCTTTTCTTCTCTGTTTCTATGAAGTTGAGTTTGTTTGTTTCAATTCTACACATAAGTGATGCCTTGCAGCATTTGTCTCTATCTGGCTTATTTCTTTCAGCATAATGCCTTCAAGATCCATCCATGTTGCTGCAAATGTCAGGATTTCCTTCTTTCTTTTGGTTGGATTGTGTATATAAACCACAATTCTTTATGTATACACAATTGTGTATATATGATGTAATTTTTCTTTATCCATGCATCTGTTCATGGACACCTATGTTGTTGCCATATCTTGGGTATTGTGAATAATGCTGCAGTGAACATGGGAGAGCAGATATCTCTTTAATATCTTTTCTTCATTTCCTCTGGATATGTACCCAGAGGTGGGGTTGCTGGATTTTATAATTATTTGGTTCTATTTTTAATTATTTGAGTAACATCCATATTCATTGTGGCTGCACAAATTACATCCCCACCAACAGTGTACAAGGGTTTCTTTTCTTCCACATACTTGCCCACACTTGTTATATCTTAGCTTTCTGATGATAGCTATTCTAATAGGTGTGAGGTGATATCTCATTGTATTTTAGGCTTCCATTTCTTTTATAATTAGTGATACTGAGCCCCTTTTCATGAACCTGTTGGTCATTTGCATATCTTCTTTGGGGGAAAAAAGCCTATTCAGAAATTTCGCCTTTTTTTATTTAGTTGAATTGTTTGGTTTTTGTTGTTGTTGTTTTGTTAATTGAGTTGTTTGAGTTCTTTATGTATTTTGCATATTAGCCCCTTATCAGATATGTGATTTGGAAATATTTTCTCCTGCTCTGTAGGTTACATTTTCATCTTATTGATGGTCCTTTTGCTGTACAAAAGCTTTTTAGTTTGTGTAGTCCCACTTATTTATTTTAGCTTTTGTGCCTTTGCTTTTGGTTTCAAATAAAAAAAATAATAATTGCCAAGATCAATGTCAAGGAGCTTTTCCCTCTATATTTCTTCCAGGAGTTTTATGGCTTTAGGTCTTACATTTAAGTCTTTGATACACCTTGAGTTCATTTTATTCTTTTCATGTGGCTGTTCATTTTTCCTAACATCGTATATTTTTGGCTGCTTTGTCATAAGTAATTGACTTTTGAGTCTCCTGGTTTTGAACTTTATCCTTCAGGATCTCCACATACTTTGGTTGGAGGAGTATGACTTAATTTTCAGCACACACTTTTGCTACATGTATATATTTTCTTATCTTTCAATTGTAATTGACATACAATTGTGTATGGTATAAGATAGGGGTACAGTTTTATTCTTTTCATGTGGCTATTCATTTTCCTAACATCATATATTTTTGGCTGCTTTGTCATAAATAATTGACTTTTGAGTCTCCTGGTTTTGAACTTTATCCTTCAGGATCTCCACTTACTTTGTTTGGAGGAGTATGACTTAATTTTCAACACACACTTTTGCTACATGTATACAGTGGGGCTTTGACTTACGAGTTTAATTCGTTCTGAGACCGAGCTCATTAAGGAGCTCATTAAGGAGCTCGTTAACTCAAATTACTCTATCAACTCAATGCAAAAAATCAGCCGAGAGACAGCTGGTATCTCAAAAAACTCGTTAGTCGGGACACTCGTAAGTCAAGGCCTCACTGTATATTTTCTTATCTTTCAATTGTAATTGACATACAATCTTATATTTGTTTCAGGTGTACAACAGAGTGACTACACATTTACATACCTTATGGAGTGATCACCCAGATAAATCTAATACCCATCTGGCACCATGCACAGTTATTACAGTATTATTGACAATATTTTCTATGCTGTTGTATATATTTCAAAGAAGGAATTAATAGTTATAGTTTTATTTTATTTTTATTAATTGAAATTCTCATTGGCTATATAAGGATGACTCTTCAGATACTTCTCCAAGTACTTTTGGCATGATATTCCATCCAGTCTCTGCTATGTAAATATTGTTCAGGTTTAGCAAGCAGTTCCCTAATGGTATGTGTCTCATTAGTTAACTCAGTTCTTAATGACTAAAGGACTTCAATGATCGAATAAAACACATTTTAAAGGCAAAACATTATGGGTAGGTAGACGGTTTCTAGTTTCTAGTTTGTGCTTGGCAAAAACAAACAAAAAGTCACACACACACATGCAACGAAAACAATTTATTGAATTGCATTTAAATACTGAAACTGTTTTGCAAGTAAAAGTAGAAAAAATATAATTCAGCTTAATTCTAGAAATTTAAATGTGTTGCTGTTTAAATGCCTATATCCTATAAACTACTCCAAAATAATTTAGTACTGTCTTCACAGAGGTTTTTCTGGGTTTTAGAGAGTAATATGAACACTAAACAAGAGGTTTATACTAGGAAGCCAAATGGGCATGAAATGCACATTGTCAGCAGTGCCAAGTTCTGTTATTGACATTAATTTCATTGTGGAGTTTGAAACCAAAAATTGCTGAAGCTAATTTTAGGAAAACAGAACACTAAAACTCTAACAAAATGATCAATGTCATGAGCAAAGTGAAAAAATATATCCTTGCTTTTATTTTTTTAAAAATATATTTTTATTCATTTCAGAGAGGAAGGAAGAAGGAGAAAGAGATAGAAAAATCAATGATGAGAGAGAATCATTGATCGGCTGCCTCCTGCATGCCCCCTACTGTAGATCAAGCTTGCAACCCAGGCATGTGCCCTTGACTGGAATCGAACCCAGGACCCTTCAGTCCACAGGCCAACGCTCTATCCCCTGCTGCATGCCCCCTACTGGAGATCAAGCTTGCAACCCAGGCATGTGCCCTTGACTGGAATCGAATCCAGGACCTTTCAGTCCACAGGCCAACGCTCTATCCCCTGAACCAAACCGGCTAGGGTTGCTTTTCTTAATGTACCCTCAATGGAGAAATGAATTTGCCTTAAACCATCTACTTGTAAGTGGATTCCTCTTTACAAACATACACCTAAAGGAACACAATTTCAATGTTGGGATATAGGCGAGCAATGAAAAAGAAAGGAGATAAAAGGGTATCCTAGGAGAACAATTCTTCCTCTGCCACAGAATAAAAATAATCAATTCATATGCCCCAATTTCAATACTCATAGCTAATTAAATAGAGTGCTTATTTTCCTTTATGAGAAACATAAAAGGTGCATTTAAAAAATGAATAGCCCAACTGGTGTGGTTCAGTGGTTGAGCATTGACCGATGAACCAGGAGGTCACAGTTCAGTTTCTGGTCAGGGCACATGCCTTGGTTGTGGGCGAGATCCCCAGTGGGGGTTATGCAGGAGGCATCCGATCAATGATTCTCTCTCATCATTGATATATATATATCAATTGATGTATCAATAAATTGATATATCAATATATATTAATTAATATATCAATATTCATATGTATATATGAATAAATCCAACTCAGGAGTCTGGTTGCAATTGACAGAAAGTTAACTCAAACTAAGTCAAAGAAATAAGAAAAAGCATTGGTCTTGCAACCAAACGGTAGGAACTGCAGGCAAGAGCTAACCTCAAGGTCAATCAGAACCAGGCCTAGAATCCAGAAGGATTTTCTCTGCTGCCCTTATTTCTGCTTCTCTACATGAGTCGCTTTTACTCTCTTCAGCTTTCCCCATGTTGTTGGAATGGTCACCAACAACTCTAGGCCTCCACAGAAAAGGACTGAACTCACTCTACATGTTCTCAAGTTTAAAAATACCAGGGAAAGGATTTGAAAAACTTAACTTCAACTGTGACAACTGCTGCAGGGTCTGAAAAGGAGTTACCCACTCGAACCATATTGTTAGCAGGAACATTTCTCAGAGGAGGGTGGGAAAGCTATTATGTTCACTACAGGTTATGGTGTTCTATGCATAGATAATGTCCCATACTTATAGAAAAAGTTCACACAACAAACTAACCAATCAAGAAAACTTGGTAAATTCTGTCTGTATGGTAAGTGTTTGTGTGTATGTATATGTGTATGTGCGTGTGCTTGTGTGTAATGGATGAAAGAGAGGGTAGGGGACAGGAGGTGGGGAGGGTAGGGAGAAAGAAAAGAGAAAGAATACATGAGGAAAGAAGGGAGGAGAGAAAAGAAGAGGATAGAAGGAGGGTAGGAGAGACTGATTCAGTAATGACCTTGGGAAAAGCTCATATTCATTACGTCCTGGTATAATTAACGTTGAGGAATCACATGTATGAGTTTTACTCACTGAGAGAAAATCATTCCACAAATTGTAGTTCAAGCAGATTCATCTAGCAAATGGAATAAGTTCTTTTTTTGGGGGGGGGGGCTTTTTATTTTTTATTTTTTATTTTTTATTTTTTTTTTTATTGCTTAAAGCATTACAAAGGGTATTACATATGTGTCCTTTTTTTCCCCGCCCTTGACAATACCCCGGCTTCCCCTACCCCCCAGTGTCTTATGTCCATTGGTTATGCTCATATGCATGCATACAAGTCCTTCGGTTGATCTCTTACCCCCCTCCCTCCTGCCCCCCAACCCTCCCCAGCCTTCCCGCTGCAGTTTGACAATCAGTTCTAATATGAGGTAATAAAATATAAGAAATGTAGATTTCAGTTCATCTCTTTTGGAAATAAGGCACAGTCCCAAAGGAAAGTATTTTAACATGAATTGATTTGTCTATAGGTATTTGACATTTTATTCTTCATTTAGATTAATAGAATGACAGACCATGGTTTAGAGACACTGTAGACTGTAACTTTAATGTTGTTTTACAATTGAAGAAAACTTGAATTCCAAATCTTGCTATCTCAATTAAAGAAAATAGTACTTTTCAACAGTGCACAGTTATCAGTGAATAAAAAATTAAAAGCATTAGTTGTAATTGAAGTGGTACCCATGCTCCATGGACACAAGGTTTGAAATGGAAATAAGTGAATAATAATGGATGAAGGAAAAGGGAAGAAATTGGAAGCTTTGTTAATGTTGCAAAGCTATCAGACAAGAAGTACATCTTAGGCATTAAAGTCTAAAACATTAGAAATGGCTCAAATCATAATGATATGCAGGTTGAAGATGTTGCTATTGTGAGAGTGGCTAAGGTTCAGTACAGGTAAAAGTAGCTGAAATTCTGAAGATTAAGAAGCTTTGAGGCCAAGGTCTCAGATGGGTCAAGCATATGGATGTTGAGCTTACCCAAGGCAACCTACAGAAGAATATGGAGACAGAATGTAAGACAGGTTTCAGAGTCCTCATGGACTAGGGAGAGAGTGAGATATTGATAGAGAGCAATGATGAGGAAGACTAGAGAGCAACAGTGGTGCTGCTTAGGACATTAGCCTCTCAGAGAAGAAGGACTTTTGCATGAGCGGGAAGGACTACTGAGCTAGAAGTGGTATCAAAAAGGAGTGGGGCTAGAAGACTATTGATATAATATTTGTTGGGGCTTCATTTCATAATCAAACATTATATTAGGATCTTTTCATAATGTATTGTATGCTTCTTGATGCCAAAACTACCTTATTCACCTTTATATCCCTCATAGCACTTAACAGACTTCCCTGTATGAAATAGGAGCTACTCAATAATTCCTTAGCAATTTTACTTGAAAGTACACATACAAAAAATTTTATGTGCCCTTGACAGGGAATCAAACCTGCAAACCTTAGGTGCATAGGTTGGCTCTCTAACCACAGAGCAACATGGGCCAGGGCTAAATACTAATTTTATAATATATGCAAAGTCAGTTCTTAAGTATCAGTCAGTTAAGAATAATCCATGTGAAGCTGTGAATGCTAATTGTCTCCAGTAAGAATTTTCCTTTTCTTCCTTGGAAATACTAGTAGTCATCTCTATTTAAAATGGAAAGCTGGCCATTGGAATTGAGGCTATTTTTCTCAACCGTATGATCATGTGATTAAGTTCTGCCCAAAAGAAATTATGCAAAGTTTCTTGTGAAAATTCTAGGTTTACTTCCAAGAAATGGGCACAGCATTCTCTGTCCCTTCCCCTTGGCTGGAATGTGAATGTGGTGACTGGAACTCAAGCAAGTATTTCCTGTCATGAGGTAACACATAAACTGTGAGAAGCCAGATAGAAGAAGCAACACTTGGCAGAGCTGTCACACTACCTTGCTCTGTGCATCTCAGGACTTTTCTTACATGAGAGGACGAAAATGTGTGCTGTTAAGCCACTTGTAATTGATTTTAATTTTATGGTCCTTACAGCCAAATGTCATCCTAATTGACATCGTGTATATCTTTGGGTTTATCCAGCTTCGCTATAATTTAATTTAATAAATTGACTTTCAGGCTAATCTGTATCACTTTCATCAAGATTGCAATGGACAATTTGTATCTTTTGTAACATCTATGGAGAATTATTTCTCTCTTCCTGAGGTGAAAAAGTGCTGTGTGAGTCATTGTTCCAATGGTTTTCACTCTTATATTTGAGACAAAAACTTTAAATCTTCTATTAGAAATTATTTGTAGAAAAGTTAAAATTACAGAGTCAGCTGCAAAATCCCATTCAAATTTGAGCTTTGGGAAGCTATTTAAAAAGAAGAAATTAGCCTGGCTGGTGTTGCTCAGTAGTTGGGTGTCAACCTATGAATCAAGAGGTCATGGTTCAATTCCTGGTCAGAGCACATGCCCCAGTTGAGGGCTCAAGCCCCAGTGTGGGGCATGCAGGAGGCAGCCGATCAATAATTCTCTCTCATCATTGATGTTTCTATCACTCTCTCCCTCTTCCTTCCTTTCTGAAATAAATACAAATATTTTTAAAAGAAATCAATAGAAAGGAGAAAGTGTTTTAAAAAAATCAA